TGTTCCCTTCAACCTAAGACATGAGCCTGTGAGGGCGAGAGGGCGACACAGTGACTCTTTGACGGGTAAGATAGGGACACTGGGGTTAAACCTAAGACAGAGATGACTGAAATCTGACAACAGATAGATACTGCTACTCCTATAATATTAAAACAAAAAGGGGGAACTGTAGGGAGCTGCAGAAAACCGCACCCAAAAGATGGCGCCGGTTTCCGCCTTCCGCCAGCCCGACGGCGAGCGCTCTCTGTGGTAAACAACTCCAAATAAGGCAGAGGTCATGTATCCTCTTAATTCTGCTTGGAGACAACCTATCCTGGCGCGCCACGTAGGGTTAGGTGATTGGTAGATATAGACTATATCAAGCCCCGTCTCCCTCGGCCCGGGCCCGCCGCCATTATACACTGTACAAAGCAAAGAGGTTCCCGATTAAACTGTGTTTAAAGAAGATTCCTCGGTGTGGCATCTTTCTTACTGGTCAAGGGTGGACGCCACAATATACCATAATAAAACACAACTGTATACATGACAAATAACAGAAATAGAGCAATTGGTGTTAATAGAGGAAGATGTCCATAAAAAGAAACTTGCAACTGAAGTTATAAAAGAAATAGTAGATGAAAATCACTTTTTAATAATCTTCAGTGTAAATAATTAAGTCACAATAGTGATGTGCAATGAAACCATTTGATGTGTTGTGCTCGGCATTCAGGGTGTTTATACTGTTTCTAAATGTACCCGTGCATTATTTATTATCTGAAAATGAAAACGTTTGTTAACTGGTAAGAGATATTGGGTCACTCTCACCTTGAGCTATTGAACTTCGTATTTCAGTAGTTGGGGAACTGATATTTCATGTCCCCTGATCAAACAGAGCTGGAAAAATACAGTATTAAGTACATTTTTTTCCTTGCCCAAAACATTTACCTTTTGTCTCTTCACAAGTGAAAAAGTCAGGCAAGTTGAGCTATAGGACATAGTACAAGTCAGTGTCCTGGACCTTGGGCTAAGTAAATTAGTTGATAATAGAAGCAGCATCATAACAGCAGGTGTAGTCTGAGATCCTTCGCAGGACAATTTCTTTTGAAATGAAGCGACTCTAGAAGACTTTCACTAGGGCAACTGGAATATGTGGAATATGGACAGTATATAAATTTTGTTACTGTATTAATATGAGCTACTTGGCATATGGCAGTGGTAATGTGCTCATGTGAGAAAGGGCTTTAGTTCTTTGATACATTTATGTCTTTAGGTATAAATTCCACACGGTATTAATAGCGTTCAAAATGTTCAGAAAACAAGTATCATGTATACGTTGATATGTGTACAAACAAGTATAATCTATATATCAATGTGTGTGTAGATGGGTATAATGCATACATTGATGTGTGTGTGGACAAGTATAGTGTATATGTTGATTCTTTGCAGATAAGTAAGTATATTATATATATGTGTGTGTGTGTGTGTGTGTGTGTGTGTGTGTGTTTTTGTATATTGTAGACAAGTATAATGTATATGTTGATATGTGTGCTGACAGTTATAATGTATATGTTGATGTATGTGCAGACAAGTGTACATATATGTGGATATGTGTACAGACATGTACTGAGAGAGAGAGAGTTACTACAGCAAAGTATGGGTGACTGGTGATGTTTGCTGGATGGAACCAATTTTGTGCTTATTTTTAAGATTTATTTTCAGAATGATTAGAAGTAAAGAAACTGTTCCCAAGTCCCCAGGGCTTTTTGCTCTCCTTTGAGCTGATTCGATCTATATTTAAGTTACAGTGTGATTCTGGTTTCTTCTCTCCCAGCAGAGTGCTGCTCATCTCTATAAATGTTGTTTTCAATCGGCCATGATCTTGGTGCTTCCTCTCTATTGGTCTTCCACTTTGTTTGCCCCAAGTTCTGCTCCTTTCCCTGAGTACTTGTCCATGTCGCTTAGTGACTCTCCCTGGAAGCAGTCTCCACCCAGAATCACACCTGAACTCTGATTGCTCATCTAGCAAATGGAACAATGTTTTAAAGATATAATATGTATGTGGATCTTTATGACTGTTTAATGAAGGTCTCTCTCAGGCAATAGCTCTAGAGGACATCTGAGACTATAAACTGGATTTGTGTTTTCCTGGTCTGTGCAAACAAACTGTTGAGGGTGGAGGTTAATGTTGGAGGCAGCTCAGTAATAAAGCCAGGTTCCAATGCATTGTATGTACATGGCTTTTTGAACTTCTCTAAACTCAGTTTCCTGTTCTAAAAAGTTAAAACCATAATTCCCTCAAGTGACTGTTATGAAAGTTCAAGTAGCTGACACCTGTCAAGCCCTTGGAAAAATGCCCCTAAGTGTTTTTTGTGTTTCAGCACAGTCTTCCTTGACATGTTAGACCTGAATCAAATGTGGTTTTCAAGCTATTTATAATGGTCAGTATGAAATAATTTCTTTGTTGCTGTCTCTGTGTTCCCCCTGGATTCAGGTTTCTCTGGGACTTCTGCATGCCCATGCCACACATATCTTGTGGCCTCCAGAGCGCTGGCAGAGACTGAAATCTGTGCTTCCTCCAGAGCGATTCCCAGTCCCTACCAGTGAGGAGTGACTGCCTGAGAAGCCCATCATACGAGGAGCTGCAGACACCAGAAGCCTCCTACCAAAGAGAGATGCTCCAATGATGCAGAGCAAGAGACCTCTATGTATCTTTAAGGTGATCTAGAATTTCAAAGAAAGACTTTCAATATTAAACAGTATTAAATGACAACTGACTGTGTGTTGTATTTAATTCCATATTGTTTATCACCAATGATGCCAGCCTTGGAGAACATGAAAGCATTCTACCTGTATGTATTTTTATTTAAATTAGAAACAAGCTTCTTTTACATGTCAATCTCAGTTCTCTCTCCCTCCCCTCCTCCCCTGACCCCCAGAGGCCCCCTATCCCAACCCCTTTCTGCTCCCCAGGGAGGGTGAAGCCTTCCATGGGCTATCTTCAATGTCTGTCATATCATTTGGAGCAGGGACTAGATCCTCCCCAGAGTATCTAGGCTGAGAGAGTAGAGGGAGGCATTATAAAGCATGCTCCTCATTAGCTTAGGAGATCTTGTCCCTTTCCCCTTCTCCAGGGGACCATGGATGTCTCTCTTAGGTTCTTCCTTGTTTCCTAGCTTCTCTGGCAGTGTAGATTGTAAGCTGCTACTTCTTTGCTCTAGATCTAAAATTCATATATGAGTGAGTACATACCATTTTTATCTTTTTGTGACTGAGTTACCTCACTCAGAATGGTTTCTTTAATCCCATCCACTTGCCTGTGAATTTCTAGATTCCATTATTTTTTTTTTCTGCTGAGTAGTACTCCATTGTGTAAATGTACCACATTTTCTCAGATCCATTCTTCAGTTGAGGGGCATCTAGGTTGCTTCCAGTTTCTGGGTATTACAAATAATGCTGCTATGAACATAGTTGAACAGGTGTCCTTGTTGTATGAATGTGCATCTTTTGGGTATATGCCTAAGAGTGGAATTGCTGGATCTTGTGGTAGATTGATTCCCATTTTCCTGAGGAACCAAAGACACAGGCTAGCAGAATGGATATGAAGACAGAATCCATCCGTCTGCTGCATACAAGAAACACATCTCAACTTCAAAGACAGATGGTACCTCAGAGTAAAGGGTTGGGATAAGATTTTCCAATCAAATGGACCCAAGAAACAAGTGTGAGTAGCAATCCTAATATCTAACAAATTAGAATTTAAACTAAAATCAATCAAAAGAGATGAAGGTCAGTCCTACTCATCACAGGAGAATCCATTAAGATAAAGTCTCAATTATGAACATCTATGCCCCAAATACAAAGATACCAGCCTATAATCCTCTTCACCAAAGAAACTAGGAAACATGAAGGACTCTAAGGGATAAATAGTCCCCAGGAATGAAAGTGGCATGAACTCCTGAGGCATGAGGGTAGAGGGGAGGGAGCTGCTACAATAAGAGCAAGAGAAGAGGAGTAAAGGAGAGGAAATGGAGGGGCAGAAATATTGAGTTGGGGGAAGAATAGAGGAGAGAGAGCAGGATGAGAGATACCATATCAGAGGGAGCCACTATAGGTACCGAAAAGAGATCTGGAACCAGGGAGATCTCCAGAGACCTACAAGGATGACAGGATCTGACAATCCAGGCAATGGTGGAGATGATAACCTAAAAGCCCTTCCCATAAAATGAGATTGATGACTTCTCTTTATGCCATCCTAGAGCCCTCATCCAGTGGCTGATGGAAGCAGAGACAGACATCCACAGATAAACACTGAGCTGAAATTGGGAATTTAGTTGAAGAGAGGGAGGAATGAAGAGCAAAGGGGTCTGCACCAGGTTGGAGGAACAATTGGAACAATTGGCCTGAACAAGGGAGAGCACATCGACCCCAGATGATGTCGGGGAGGCCAGTACGGCTGGGGGTGGGTGAGGAGGAATGGGGGTGAGGGAAGGGAGAGGGAGAAGGGACTTACATGTGAAACAAGCTTGTTCCCTAAATAGAACTAATAAATAAATAAAAAAAGAGATTATAAGCATAAAAAAAGAAACATTGCTAAAACTCAAATCACACATAAAACCTCACACACTTATAGTAGGAGAATTCAGCACCCCTCTCTCACCACTAGAAGGGAGAGGGAGAAGGGACTGACATGTGAAATTATAATTTTGTAAAAATTAAATAAAAATGAAAACAAGAAACAGAGGAACTAATAGAAGTTATGGCCCAATTGGGTTTAACAGATATCTATAGAACATTCCATCCAAACACAAAAGAATATACCTTTTTCTCAGCTCCACATGGAACCTTCTCTAAAATCGACCACATACTTGGCGACATAGCAAACCTTAACAGGTACAAAAAATTAAACTCTACCTGTATATATTAAAGGAAGTAAATTTGATGATGTTGTGTACAGTTATTGGTGAGATTTTTCCTTGAAAACTGATGCTGAAACATGTTTAAATTTAATGTGAAATGGAAATGATTTATCTTCCACTGTTAGGACAGAATAGGGAAAGCCACATATTATGAATATAAGGATAGTGATTGTATTGTAAATGACATAATCTACAGAACAGTGGGTGCTAGTTAGGAAGGACCATGAATTGTGATGTCAAATAAAACAGTGATTTGTGCAGATCTTGTTTGGAATGTTTAATTATCAGTTAACCAACCATTCTCTAATGAAAAATGTTTTATCTCTTATCCAAGGCAGAAGTTAAAGTAATGGCAAAAAGTTCTGTCAATACTTGATATAACCAAATGTTTTTATTGGCCCTTTTTAATATAAAACTTCTGATAAATCCCATGCCTGTTCACAAAGATGAATAAGTTCATTGGTCAGCATTTAATCACAATGGGTAAAAAGTTCTAAGTGAAATGGAAAATAATCAAATGCAGATCAACAAAGTTTGATTTTTTCCCCTTAAGTGATTTCTCAGCATCTAACTCTCTAATACTGAAATCAGGTTTAATGGTGGAGAGTCTGTAACTTGTCTAAATAAGGACACACACTTCCTACATAGGAGAAAATAGCTTTAATAAAACACTTTTTTGTGCCATTGGTGAACGGTTTGCTATGATCAGAACAAGACTTAAGGTCACTTCCCTTTGTTCATTAGGTCACTTTTTCTTCTGAAATCTTGCAAATGTAGTTTCTAGTACACGATGGCAGGCAGGCATAGGATGATAACAAAAATGTATGTAGAAGAAAATGAATTTCTACAAAGAATTTATTTAGCAATCTGAGAGTGAATGCAGCAAGGATTTATTTCCTTCTAATCATTCTGAAAATAAAACTTAGAAATAAGCACAACACACACACACACACACACACACACACAAAACACATTCATTCATGAGCCTACCAGTCACGTCACTTGGTATACTAATACTATGGCAGAATATACTCATTTCCTTTCCTTCTGTGTTGGGAAGCAATATAGGTTAAAGAAGGTTGTATCTTGCCAAATTTTGTGATGTGGCTATACAGACTAAACAGTAAAATTCTGCATGATCAATATGTCTGTGTTCAATATGGTAACTCAAGAAGGATAAAACCAAAGTTCTCTCAGTCTACTGGTGGCAGGAGGAGGAAATTATAAATGAACAAATAGATACCACCATGCAGCTTAACCAAGGTGTGGAACACTGAATAGGTTGGTGGTGGGGTAATGGTAGGGGGAGGTAGAAATGACTCCCAAGCAAGTGCTTCTGCTTGGGAGAGGGCGGGGCACATGGGTGACCTTTACAGTAGTGCTATCTTGGATTTAGCCTTTCCTCCTAGGATTTATAAATGCAACTGATATAAAATTATTTCAGCTGCTCAAATTGTTTCCAGCAACGTATAATTAACTGTCTGGGGGATGTATGTTGAGTTTTAACAAATTTAATTTCCAGCATAGAAAATTGTGGTTGTGCTGCAAGAAAATTTAGAGCAGCAATTGTTTTTTCCTTTTTTTTGTTTTTTTCAAGTCATAGAAAAATTTTACCAAATAGTCTCTAGAAATGTACTGGATATAGAGATACTTGTAAGTTTTGATGAACATTAAACTATCAGATTAGCATGTTCCCATTTACCTTGTATATAATTTCTAAGCCCATATGTTCATCAAAAAACAATAAGTAAAGAAAAATGAAACCAAAGAGTTAGAGCTTCACTGGTGTGCTTTTCTAGTGGGGCAAGGTAAAAGGAGATTGGCCTCTTAAAGAAGAACCTGAAAATAAATTAGCATCACAACTAATTTTATGACATAATTATGTGTCTAATCCCTAAATATTCGTTATCTAGTCTACTATAATCACAAACAGAATCATCCTGGTGTACAGTTGTCTGCTGTGCAGGTGGTGATTCCATCTTGGCATCAGTCAGGTCTCTTTCTAAAGGAATGACCACCTCTTCATTGCTTTCTGTCAAGCACTCATGGCCATGATGTGCCATCATCCATTCCTTGTCAGTCAGTGTTCCCTTCTTCTCACTCACATTTGGATTAATCCTAAGGCCTTGCTTGTGTTAGCCAAGAACTCTACTATTTAACAGCCCCTCCTTTACTGTTTATGGATATGTGTTATATATAAAAATACAGGGTCTCAGTTAAGTTGCTCAGGTAGGCCTTGAACTTTCCATTCTCATGCCTCAGAATTCCTCAGTAGTTAAAATTAAAACCTCGGTAGTTGTTTTTTCAAATATGTTTTAGGGCAGTATGCTGGTTTGTTGTGTAAAGATATTTCCTGTCAAGTCTGGGGACCTGGGCAATCCCTGAGATCTACATGGTAAAAGAGAACCAGCCCTCTTAAGCTGTCCCTTGGATTTTGGTAATGTACCATGGCATGAGCTTGCCCACACACAATAAATAGATAAATTTGTTTTTTTAAGTGGATGGGGGGTGGAATGGGGGGGGTCGGGGAAATGGGAGGATGGGAGGGAGAGGGAACTGGGATTGGTATGTAAAATAAGATACTGTTTTAATTTAAAGAAAAATGAAGAAATTGCTCAACATCCTTAGCCATCAGGGAAATGCAAATCAAAACAACCATATAACACCAGTCAGAATGGCTAAAATAAAAAACACTAATGACAGTTTATACTGGAGAGGATGTGGTGAAAGGGGAACCTTCCTCCATTGCTGGTGGAAATGCATGCTTGCTTCAGTAGCACATATACTAAAATTGGAACTATACTGAAAAGATTAGCATGGCCCCTGCACTGGTGGAAATGCAAACTTGTGTTGC